CAAAAATATAATCCTTATTTTCAAATATTATCATATTAAATTTTATTTAAATATTTTAAATAATTAAAAAAATAGATCAGAGGCATATTTATAGTAATTATGCAGCCAAATTTGCCTGCAAATCTTTACTAATTAAGGGATATAAAAATACCTTATCATATATATATCAAATAAAAGAGATTATATGAAACAAATAATAAGGATGGTAAGTTATAGATATTGTTAATCATCGCTATCTATTGTAATCACTGGTTAAAAATTAGATTTCAACTAAATAATATCTTGTAATATATAGTAAAGTAACAACTTAATTACTAAATAATATATATTATCTAGTAATTAAGTTGTTATTTGTACTATATATTACAAGATATTATTTAGTTGAAATCTAATTTTTTTAACTAGCAAATAATCATTATTATTAGGTTCAATAGTAGAAATTAACTGAAAAAGAAGCTCAAAAGAAATATCACAGAGTAAAAGGGTTTAGAAAAATTTTGTAGGTACTAAGTTTAGAGAATCTGGATAATTTCTTTAAGAAAAATAAAAATAATCTGGACCCACTACAAATCGATGGTTTTCAAAACTTATTAAGTGGTCTCGATGAGTTTTTGGAAGAGGAATTGATCATATCTCTTAACGAAAGTCATTGTATAGAAATATTTTCTTTGGCAGTCTTGGAAAGTACCGATATAATTTGTACAACTTCAAGTTTTCATAGAAAGCCAATATTTACAAATATTATAATAAGCAGTTATAATGGAGAAAGCATAATAAATTGGTATAGTTTGGTAAGTATTTATTATATTTTTCATGTTTCACTGATATTTTTCAAAAATAATAAAAAAAATTGTTTAATAACGATCATAAGCAAAATAACTCTTGAAGTTAGAATATACTTTTATTTACACTAACTTCAAGAGTAATATATAACTAATATATATTGTTTTTAAGATATTAATAATACTCAAGTTTTACTTTAGTCTGCTAGTATAAGGAAGATGGTGAATTATGAGGATGTCCAAAATTAAAACTGCTCAAACACTATAATTGCATACTATTAGAGTGTTGATAGAACCGTTCATATAGTTTCAAGATTTACTAAAATGAATGAATATCTAGTGAACTGTTTTATGTTTTAATATTAAAGTAATTTATATATGGCTTAATTAAAGTGTATATTAATTATCATTATGTATGACATTTCTAGTTATATATCTGATATCATTATTTAAAGTGTATATATTTATGTATGATAGTTTATTGATGTTTAACGATTATTGTAAAATTGCGATAAAAATAAATTTGATAAATATCGATTATTTTTTTATATGAAAATTTATCGATAATGATAAATATCGATAGATAACTGCTTATCGGTAATTATTGTAATAATATTAAATGATAATTATCGATTAATAAATATATATTAATAGAATCCATATTTTGTTATATATCGATAAAGATATATATCAATTTCTATCTATTTTATCGCTATATATTGTTAATTTTAAAATGATATATACCGATATAAAGTTTGATATCGATAATTATCTGGTTATAAATTTTGCTAATGTTTACTATCTGATTTTTTTTTATCAGAGGCATACTCCCCCCTCTTTTCTTATTATATATTTAATCAGGTCTTCATATATAATTTTAACTTTTTTTTACCCCACCTCCCTAAAAAATTACCTGATTTTTGTTACTCTTTTTAAGTAAATTAAATAATGTTTACAAGTGAAGTTATTAGTTATTAATATTTTTATAATATTAATTTATAGAATAAGTTAATTATAACAGTAATATTTAATATCTTATGGGGATTAATTTTTATATCCCAAAAATTTATTATTTATACCCCACAGATTTGACTTTTTTTTTTAGACTTTGAGCAAAGATATTTTAGTAACTACCAGGCCAAATTCAACAAACATTTTTTCTTTAAATTTTATAGATTTGTAGAATTCAACAAAAATAAGTTCATCAAATTTGACCTAGTAGTTGCAGAGATATCTTAGCTTAAAATTTGAAAAAAAATCAAAATGTCTATCAAAACAAACTATACAAAATTTTCTTTAAACTTTGAGCAAGATATCTTAACAACTACTGGACCAAATTTAATGAAATTTTTTTGTTTGAATTCAATGAATCTATAGAATTCAAATAAAAAAAATATTTATCAAATTTGACTTAATATTTACTGGATTATCATCACTCAAAGTTTCAAAAAAAATTCAAAACGTATATCAAAACAAAAGCTGCGCCAAAATTTTCCTCTAAACTTTGAGTGGAAATATCTTAGCAACCATCAAACCAAATTCAATAAACTTTTTTTTATTTGAATTCTAAGAATTCATATAATTCAAATAAAAAAAATTTCATTGAATTTGGTTTTGATGATTGCTAAGATATTTCCACTCAAAGTTTAGAAAAAAATTTTGGCGCAGCTTTTGCTTTTGAATTTTTTTAAAACTTTGAGTGATGATAATCCAATAACTATTAAGTTAAATTTGATAATTTTTTTTTATTTGAATCTAAATATTCATAGAATTCAAACAAAAAAAACTTCATCGAACTTGGCCCAGAAGTTGCTAAGATATCTTCGCTCAAAGTTTAAAGAAAATTTTGTATAGTTTGTTTTGACAGACATTTTGATTTTTTTTAAACTTTGAGCTAAGATATCTCAGCAACTACTGGGCCAGAATTTGGCCTGGTAGTAACTAAGATATCTTTGCTCAAAGTCTAAAAAAAAAAATTCAAATCTGCAGGAGGTATGAATAATAATCCCCTATCTTATTTGTGACTTTTGGTTTTGGTAGTCTTTAATTCGGCGCATGTTTAGGTTACATCTTGTTTCGGCACATGGAGAAACTATCGGGTTTGGGTGAGCTCTGCACACGTGACTTCCTGATTTAGTTGTCCGTTATCCTAGTCTTTGAGAATTGAAGTCAACATATAACGAATGTACCCGGATATCATCTGAACCCACCACTAGAATTATAAGGAAAATTAAATTTTTTTCATTTCCATTAGAGTCATAAGGCAGTTTTACGCATTATTTTCTTTATTTTTACTTGTTTTCTCATGCATACTGTATAAACTTGATCTGAGGGACTAAATCCAATTGTATCACTCGCAATAAATTTATTGTATCATTCGTACAAATAAACGCGAGTACGTAGTGTTGGTATTGGGCAATGATCAATAAAGTTTTATTGGATTGGAAATATGCCTAATTAGAATTGGCATATGTGCTATAAAAATTTATTAGGGTGATACAGAATTAATGTTCAGGTTTCTGATTTCGAATTAAATTAGTGACGTATTTGTTTTGAAATAAATAAATATATACATACGTATATATATATATATATATATATATTATATATATGTATATATATACTGTATATATATATATGATGATAATATATCATCAGGAAAATACACCTATTTCGTTTACTGATTTCAGAATTTCAAAACGGAAATAGGATTTAAACTCCCACTTATTTTCGAAATAATTTTAATTCTGAATTTGTCCAATTGCCAACTCAAGCCTAATTCCAAAAGTAGTTTGTAAATCATATCGCTTTTGTGAAATGGAAATTTCATGTACTGCATGTACGTACTAGGGTCTGCAAGTGGGCATGCCAGGCATATTGGCACCAGGCCAGCTTCATGCCATGCCCATGCCTAAGGCACAAAAGTGCCAGGCATTATTATGGGCATGGGTACAAATGCCAGGCATTTTTATGGGCATGGGCACGAATGCCAGGTAGTATATAAGCACGGCACAATATGCTAGGCAAAAAGGTGCCGGGCAAATTGCCAGGCACAATTAATTAATAAATATTAAATTTTGTGCCCATTCCCATGCCCATGCCAAGTTTTTGTGCCCGTGCCTATGCCTATGCCAATGCCAAATTTTTGTGCCCATGCCCGTGCCAAATTTTTATGCTCGTACCCATGCTCATGCCCATGCCTGTGCCTTCTGTTGGGCATGGGCACGAGCCCGGGTTGCAGACCCCTAATTGTGCCGTGCCTATATAGTACCTGGCATTTGTGCCCATACCCATAAAAATGCCTGGCATTTGTATCCATGCTCATAATAATGCCTGGCACTTTTGTGCCTTAGGCATGGGCATGGCATGAGGCACTAGTGCTTGGCCTGGTGCCAATATGCCTGGCATGCCCACTTGCAGACCCCTAATAAGCAGCATCAATATGAAGCCATACGTCTGTGCCTTGAACTTTTTTAAAAACAAATAACAACTAATTCAGTATTCTTATGATAAATTAAATTTATAAAATTCATAAATACCTACTTGCATCAGCTAACTCCGAAATACGATCAACTGCTGCAGAACCTGTTGTGCCTATTGTACCATTAAGGAAACATAGAATTAGACCTTGAGAAACATCCTTTTCAATTTCACGCTTAAAAGTATCTCTTCTTAGAGAGAATTTCTCATCTGTTGGAAGTGCACCAAAGCGTACGTTAGCTATTATTGTGGCCTTTTTCAAGCATGAATGAGTCTAATTTTAAAACGTAATATAAATTAATATATGAATATTAAAAATGAGTATGAAATGAACGAAATCAAATACAGTCAATCTTACTAAACCGAACTCTTTGGACTTATTAAGAAAATTGCTTTAAAAAGCTCGGTTAAATTGTACTTAATATTTTAATCCAAACTTTAAATAAAACTTAAAAATTTAATTTATCCGAGAGTTCGGTTTAGGGAGTATTAACTATATATATATTATTAAAATTAACCTGAGTAGATCCATATGCAACCAGACGATTTGATATTTCATATAATTGTTCTTCGTTTAAACCTTCAGTTTTGTATTTATCAATTATGCGTTGCCTAGCTGCAAGCAAAACAACCAACGTAGCATCGCTAGCAACCCCTTGAATTACACCACCGCCGTAAACATCGCTAAGAAAACTTTTATCTAAACCAATGAGCTTTCCAACCCAATCAAGTACAATAGATTCCAATTCTGTACAAGCTGGAGAGCATACCCACTAAATAAAAAAAAATAAAACAAAAATAAATAAATATAATTTATATGTGAAACATGTCAATGATTTAATTAAATGAAAAATATTTTGAAAGCTTACATTGAATCCTATACAATTGAACATGTCACTATACATATCACCAAGAATTGACGGAAAAGATGAATTTGCTGAATAAAGTCAAAGAAATTGGGACTTTGCCAGTGTGTAACTGATAGTGCAGATGTGCTTAATAAAGAAAAATACCGGGAAAGTATATTTAATTATTAACAGTAAATACAATATATTACCACCAGGAATTATTCTAGTTTCTATATCCGATTGAATCGCATCAAATGTCTTTATATAATTGAAAAATAAAATAAAATCATTAATATTGATAATGAACAAATAAACTGGTAATATTCATATAGCTATCCAAGAATAACTATACCTTCAGGTATCTCTTCTGGAAGAAGCTTCTTGAGATATCCAGGCTCCACATTTGGCAAAACTTATATATCAATTAAAAGGAAGCTTTAGCCGAAATTTTATTAATGGACAAAATTCAATCTTGGAATAAACCATTGTAATTGTCAAGCTCTTTGTAATACTTGCAAATTCGGTCAACTGCCTCGTAACCTCTTTTACGAAACTCTTCTATATCCATTTTTCCTATATGCGATAAAGAAAGGTGGGTTTTGATCCGGTTTAATTTCTGTTAATTGATATACTATGCATCAGTATAAGGATGATCACTATCACGTTTAGCCATTATTAGAACCTAACAAAACCAAACGAGTTTCCGTTCAGGAATAATTAATTAAATGCATTGTTTGATAAGTAAATATATAACATTCTATATAATTATTTTGACATAAAATTAAACTTCATAGCATATTTTATAAAATGTCCCCAAGAATTCGTTTTTTTTTTATTGAAAAAAAAACTGGATTACACGTGAATTTCGACAACAGCAGGATTTGAACCTGCGCGGGCAGTGCCCATCAGATTTCGAGTCTGACGCCTTAACCACTCGGCCATGTTGTCAATAACATATACTCGAGATATTTTATGAAATTAATATTTTATATAAAACTATATATTATACAAAAAGACAACGATACGAGATCTAGTTACGTTCCGTATTAAAAATCAGGTTGATATAAACAGGATTCAAAATTTTTAAATTAAAAATATATATAAATTCAATATAACTAATAAATTTCGAATTAATGTTTTTATTTACAATAAATAAATTTTTTAAACCCGAAATAATCTTGTAAAGTTTGACAAAAAAATTTTATTAAATTTATTTTTGCTATATAACTTTAATACTGTATATAGCTTATACATACTGTATATAGTTTATAATGTTTTTAATTTAATAATCTTTTAATATTACAGTAATACAAACTTTGTTTAGCATACACAGTATATTAGGCCCAAACAAATTTAGTAATTTGGTTTTGATAATATTTTAAAATTTTTTTTAATTTGTTTATTTGAATTTTTTTTATTTAACAAATATAAACTATATTTGGATTTTAAACTTTTATAAAGAGCTATATTTTGTATTTGTTATTTGTAAAGTGGTTTTAAAAACATCTATAATAGAAATAATATTAATAAAAACTATTACCAAGAGATATTTCTTGTTTTTGAACAAAAAAAAATATAAATATAATAATAATAAATTATTTGGCTAATTTAAATAAATAAAATTTTTGCTATAAAAAATTTTTTTTAAAACTATATAAATTTTATAAATAAAATTTAAAATTTGCTAGCTATTTAATAATATAATTTAAATAATTTTTTTATTTTGTAAAAATAAATAAGCTTTATATAATAATAAAAAAATTTATTTAAATTAAATTGTTAAATAGCTAGCAAAATTAAATTTTATTTATAAATCTACTTATAGTAAATAACAAAAATACTCTCTCTGTAACTTTTTAAAATAAAAAGCTACAGTTTTGAAATTTCTACTATAAATATGGAACTTGTCAACCAAATTTGTGTTTCAATCAAATTTGTATATTTTGATCTATCATCAATAACTCGTGTTCTAGTAATTCAATCTTGGCAATTTTTATATCATTCGAATTCTCTTCATAAGAGGATTTGAATAGTATTAAAGGCATCAAGATCAAATTATTAAAACACGAGTTATTGATAATAGATCAAAATATACAAATTTGATTGAAAACTAAATTTGGTTGACAAATTCTATAATATTAAATAAATATATATTAAAAAAATTTTTTATACTTTTTTAATTACTATAACAAAAGTTAGATAAAAGTTAAAATTTGTTAAAATTTTAAATATTTTTTTTTTATAAAATTTAATTAAAAATTAATAAAAAAATTAAAATTAAAATTATAAATTTTAAAAAATTAATATATTAAAAATTTATATATTTTTATAAAAATTAACCAATATTTACTACAAATAATTATTATCTGTAATTTGCAAAAATAATTAATTTTTATTAAAACAAAAACTTAATATCTTTAAAATTAGGATGAGTTAGAGTTAGAATAGTGCTTTATATATAGTAAAATTTAGCAAGAAATTTTTTTTATTAGAGTTTAAAAGGTAGTTTTATAGACAAAATTTTAAAATATAAATATTTTTTAAAAAAATTCTTTGTTTTGATTACACAAAATTGATTTATGTTATATTTGATTCTAAATTTTAATTGGCAAATTAACTACGGATAATAATTATCTGTAGTGTAAATTAAAAATATTTATTTTTATAATATTAACAAAAAAATTTGGGTTAATTTAATAAAATAGTTATTAAGAAATTAATTTTTAAAATTATTTTAAAATAAATTATAAAAAAATTATTTGTAATATTATAGTATTAAAAATTTTAACAAATTTTAGTCTTATTTAACTTTTGTTATAATTAATAAAAAAATCTAAAATTTTTTTTTTAGTTTATATTTGTTTTTTTTTTCTTTTTTTTTATTAATATAATGTTATAGTAGAATCTTTATTACAATAAGTTTATATTAATCTAAAGATTAATAGTCTTCTTGTTACTAAAAAGACTTAGGTAAAGGGGCAGATAAGTTATCTAACCAGGCTGCCAAATTTTTTCAACTTAGTACTAGCTAATAATAAGAAGATATAGTTTTAGAAAAAATTTTTTATAGTAAAGATTTCTAACTATATTTGTGCTACAG